TCTCTCTCTCTCTCTCTCTCTCTCTCTCTCTCTCTCTCTCTCTCTCTGTATATGTATGTATGTATTTGATCACAGGACGCTCTATGAGGTCAGATAATTTCATTACTTTGCAAATGATAAAACTGGGACTGTGGGACCCTTGTTTCAACCTTTTTGTTCAAAAAGTAATAATTAAAATGGGATGGCCAAGTTCGTTTTGTTTATTAAAACGAAATCATTGCAACCAACTAAATCTATTTTCAATTTACGTAATAAGTATACGCGTGCTTCTGAAATTAGTTTTGTAACAATGTACAAGTACTGTTTAATTTATATTAATGGAAGACACAACATGGACAATTATTTCAATGAAAATTGTGTTGATTGCAGTAACACGTTTTTCAATTAAACGCAACAAAGAATCGATTTATCATTCGGGAATAATCGAATGACATTTTTTTTTATTTGAATGAATTTTCGTTCAACTAACGTAACAAATAAGTAATTCGTGGAAAAAGACAAGTAGTCAAGTTCATTCGTTTAACAAATTCAAATAAATAATCGATTTGCTTTTCAATTAAACCTAATTCAAATGGCTGACAATGCTCAATAGACTGGCATATTTTCTAAGCTTACCCAAGCAAAATGGCAGCACACAAATATAAGTAAAACAACATTTACACTTCCTAGAACCGAATTGTATTTGTTAAACTAAAAACTATGAAATTAGAAAAAATGGACAAAAAACGTTACTAATTAGATTTAAATCACTCTAATTGCATTCGATCGGATAAAAAAAAAAAAAAAAACAAAGAAAAATTGATCACGAAAAAATCATGCAAGTGTGTTCTTTGTCGGTGAAAAAATCCATTGATATGTAAAATCATTAAAATTGCCTTATGCATATAAGTAATTATACACCTTTGCGCACGAATTCATTCATCGATCCAAGTGTGCTCACTTAAAAAAAAGAGAAGATAACGTTGCTCTTTATACTTGAATCGAGTTTATTGTTTGATTTATGTCTGGTGCGGAAAAATGTAAATGATCTGATGTGAAATATTGTTGTAATTAAGTGGAAATTAAACCCATCGTCGACGCGCAATAGCGTTATATACACACAGCATGTGTGTGAAATTTAACAACTGTACGCAAAAAGGCGAGCAATTTTCTCAATATAATCGACTACAAAATCATGATGCAAACAGCAACATCGCTGCCAATGTGCGCAATTGTTTGGACAAGAAATTCAATCTGAAACATGAAATGGAAGGAATCAAGTACAAAAGAATGCTCATTACAATGGAGAAGGAAAAAAAAGCAACAACAGAAAAATGATAAACAAATACAAGAGCCGTTTGTGATTTCAATGGTTGGTGCCGATTCGCGTGCAATTTTCGTGCTGATGTTATTCACTCACATTTCGATGCGTTGTTCATATTTTTTTGTATGTGTCATTTTACAAGTGTTGCTATGGATGATGAACGCGACGCGATGGGTTTTCTTTTTTCGTTTAAATTTCAACAGCAAAGCATAACTGACGTTGCATTCTAGTTCCGATTAATTTGATTCCAATTTTTCTCTTTCAATTTCGGTTCGATTTATTATTGTTTGCTATTTGCTTTGCACGCCATTTCGAAAGTCTGTAGTCTCTTGTGTTTTTTCGTGTGTGTGTATGTTGAAACACTGCTCCAATATTTGCATAATTGTTTTGCATTTCAAAATCCACAATCGATTCTCGATGCGATGTAACCAATAAATTTAATGCGATAATGCAAACAGCGTCATATTTGATACCTAGAGCGATGTCATTTTTTTCTTCTCATACAATTTGTCTTGTGGTAAATGAACTTTTTTTTTGTCTTGATATCGATGATGGTGGTAATATATATTCAGAATGCGTCCCATTCACCTCTGTGGTGATTTTAATAATAATAAAAAAAAATCTTCCATTCTTGGAATGGTAAAATCGTTGTGGCATACAATTTTCATTCGAAAAATGATTGTTTTCGCATTGAAATTGTGCCGTCTGCAGCACTACATATACACAAATATTGGTTATTTCATTTACATGGATTTACTTCAATTCTCCGCAACTCTCTAGTATCAATGTCGTAGACAGTTGATATTTAAGTTCGTGCACACGCCAATGTAATGTGTCACCGCGACGCATTTTCACTCGTCTTTGTATTTTCGTAAATAGTAAAAGGATTAAAGTATTAAAACAGAAAATTCACTCGCAAAACTAAAATCTGCACAAAGAAAGAAGCATAAAAGATGCTCATTGCATGAGATCCATCCGGCTGTGTTGCTGAGGTTATCAGACAAAGACTCTGTTACATGCTATTAGAAAAAAAGGTATACATGTTTTTTGCATTCGAGTGTTTATGTAAATTGTGGTATTATTGCGGTTTTTTTGTTCGAACAAATCTCTTGGTTGTCGCGTTCATTGACATTGAGTCGGGTGCATGATAGTCTGCACCAAGTTTATATTTCATTGAGTTGTGACGGTGTGTGTACGGTTTCGTGAGGCGACTTCATAAAATATACGTTACCAATTTGCTGTCATAATATATTGAATATGAATTCCAGAAGTTGACATTCCAGCTATATAAAATAATGTTGCATTAATGTACACCAATCACAGTTTAATTGATATTGTTGTTTTATTTACGATTTTACAATTATTAAATTTTAATCAATTTGTATACTATTGAAGATGAGAAGTGAATTTAAATGGCAAAAAAAAAACCGCCGATGAAGCAAAACCAATAACAAAATAGTAAAATCGTAATCGATCGGGCGGATGGAATGATATTAGCGTGAAGTGGCTACAGGTGCGTTGGTTTGTTTGCGATAATTGCTGAAATGTTCCAAATACTGTTGTACGGTATCCATCGGTTGATAGACTTCATTTTGCTTTGGATGTGTGACAGGTGGCGATTGTGACTGAGCCGTAAAATAAGATGGAATTTGAGTCGGTACGTTGGGGCCCATGAAACCTTGCATGAATTCACGTATCAAATCCCAACAATTCGATGCAATCACACATGGACGATACTCAACCTAATGTTTGAAACAAACATAAAAAAAAAACAAAACACGAAGAGAAGAATCAGAATACACACGTGAATGTTTCATATATATAAAATGTGTCTGTGCTTGTATTCATTTGCAAATTGATTTTGGCGCCGCTTGCAATTTGTATTCAATGTTGTTCGTTTGTTGCTTACCTCAACCAAAATTCCTTTGAACGAAATACCGGCCATTGTAACGTTGCCAAGTTTGATAACAAAATCGCCGAGCTCGAAACGTGGCCCCTTTGACTCGATCTAAATATTAAAAACGGAAATTACAATATAAAGGAAAGGATATTCAATAATTGCTCTATGGCATTTTTGTCACAGTATAAATCTCACGCATTTTTTACATTGATTGTTTTAGCCTACCTTTGTTTGTTTTTTCGACGAGTATGCTGGTTGCATTTTCAAAATGAGCAAATCGAAGAGTGAATCGGCAACGAGTGGGATCTGCTTTGTGCCCGTATCCAAAATCGAAAACACTGATGTTGGATGCTCCGAGTTATGCAATTGATGAATCAATTTCGAATTGCCTGCCAAAAAACAAACACAAGTAAATAACATGAATTAAACGTAAAACGTCTACACATTCAAATTCAATGTCGTGGAAAACAATTTTAATCGAAAGCCTCATCTGATAGAGGCAGCCAAAAAGAACGCACACTACGCAGAGTGTAGGTTGTCTGCGTTGTGCGATGATTCAATTTTCAACGGGAAATTAACTGGGTGAATTGTGGTGGTTTGTTGATGTCTATCACATTTCGTTAATTGTTAGAAAATTGTTAAGTTTGGAAATGGCACATCCATATATGCCAAAAGATGAAAATAAATAGAATGGAAAATGATAAATGTCCAAAATGTTTTCGTTGCAACATTTCATGCGTGTTCTAAAATTTTGTTGGCATGAATTTAAATGTCACAACATTGAATTTTGCCAAAATACAACCATATACATTTTATAATGTAAAGTATTTTCTCTCTCTCCCTCTCTAAATGTTGACATAGATGTTTTGAATTCAAAGATATTGATTCTAGCTCCCGCATCCGTAAACAATATATATATATATATACGTGCTAGACGAAAATATGTGTGGTTGATACACAAAACCGAAAATTGCATCGTATATGTTAATTCAACAATAACATTGTTTCATTCGGATGATTGTCTCGCGTGCTGTGCCTCAATGCGTATGCTGTAATCGTTATCAAAGTAGTTAGGCATTCGTCGTTATACATTTTTGAATGCTTATGTCTTGAGCTGACGTTTTGGGTCGATACACACACTATGTGATTATATACGTAAATGCCGTTAAGTAAAGCATGAGTATGGGCAAAATAGCAGCAAACTATATATACCCCATTTACATAAGGAGCAATGAAAACAAATTCAGCGAATGAGAAGAACAGTAGAAGAAGTATTTACGAATCAGGATCACGATGGATGGTGCTCACACAGCAATGGTTTTCGTAGATACGATACGGCTTAATAAAAATGCTATTGTGTCATATCGTACCATGTATAAACGATATGGTGTGTACACAGTAAATCCACTAAATCAAACCATATTTTGGTCTGTATATTTGGCAAATGTTCGTATGTGTATTGGTGCGGCCTTGCACAGGCGCGCCAACTTGAATTCAGCACATTGACATTTCACAAGCACATGGGAATGAGAAATAGCTGAAAAAACTGTCACATCATGTGTTGCAATGCTACCAAATATGTGCTACATATATATGCAGTATATGGCCAATGGGATAAATCATGATTTTCCGCTATGTGCACCGACATTTCATTTTTTGTTGGATTGTGTCCAAAACATACATATCACCACTACCGACAACAACACACGCTTTCATCCAAACATTGACGGAAATTATGAGTTTTCGATACATACATATATGTAGCATTGAATGATCTCGATATATCCTTTGCGAACTTTGTGTGTGCCGTATTGCAGTGTGAGATTTATTTACATTCATATTTAAACTTTCGCTTGCTTTTGCTTCGGCATTTACAAGTCGCAATGTGAAAATTACTTCGTTTTCTTTTTGCTCTGGTGATGGCTACACTGTTAATGTCGGCAAAGGAAAACAATGATATACAACTAGCCGCATATTATATGATCCATGTGTGTTGTATTTTGTATTTGAATATAAAATGCCCGAGATAAAGCGAAAAAAGTGATGCAAATTCATTCAATGCATCACAAAGTACCCGAACCAGACATAGAAATCAACACAAGTCTCATATGGAAGTGTTTTTGAGTATTCATCACAAAATATATCAATGCAAACGACTTCCAACGATTTTGTTGAATCCACAATTAAGCGTGGACCGTTCTTTTTCGTTTGAAAAATGCAATTTTCAGCCTCCAAAATCATTTTTTTCTATGTTTCATTAGAAATTAGTGTTCCGTTGGCGACTATCTCATCGCAATGAATGCAGAATTTTTAAAACTATATATACACACATAACATTTTTTCGGCACAACCGTATTGTATTGTTGTTTTTGGCTCTCCATCCATGGAGCAAAACCGTTTGCAGTACACGGAATGGTGTACAGTATCCCTGTGTGTTATGCTGTATGTATTGTTGGCACTTTCACAGATTCGAAATATACCGTTTTTCCTCTATTTTTCTCTTTTCGCAACCATCCATGATTATTATTACTGTTATTATTATTTTGTGTGTGGAATCCTTGAACCTTGTGATGTAGATGGCTTGATTCAGTTGTGATGCGGGTTGCATAGCGTACAGTCGCATCGAGCATTATTTTTCGTTTGTTGGATACGTAACGAAACAGAAAAAAACGTGTACATCAAATTACAGTTAGTGCGTTTTCTGTCCGATTTTTTTTTCGTTTCACCAAGAATTAGTTTCTTTGCTTATGGCTCTACATTTGGTTTTCGCTTGTCACTTTTATCTGACACAGAGGATTTCGCTCATAATTTTACGCAAACATAATTGATAAAAGATAATAATGCAAAACGGTTTTTTGCACAGATTTTTCGTTTCGATTCGGTTTGGTGTGTGTTATTTTTATCAGATTCCGAAACGCAAGCGAAAAATAAATGGAATATATATCTTTATGATAATAACACCCGCACAAGTAGTAACGGCGTCTGCAGCAGTGATAAGATTGGTCCTTTTATTATTATGTTTTCAAAATGATCATCGCAAACAACACAATTCTCATGAACAACATAATCGGTTATAAAGTGTAAATTTCTGCATGATTTTTTTTTTCTACATAAAAATGATGAGCAAAATAGCCTCAAAACATATAAAATCCACAAAAATATTGCATCATAAACATCGAATGTTGAAGTTTATGGAATTTTTTTTAAAAAAAATGGTGCATTGAATGTTGGTGAAGGACTTTTTCATGATACCGAGAAAATAATAATAATAATAAGTGTTGAAATGTACAACCATTGATGACACAGAAAAAAAATGTTGATTCGAATGTTGTCTAGTTAAATATTGTCCAGATGGTACAAGATCTCAACGATCTATTTTGATATAATTCATCTTACGGCAAACAAAAACAACCCATTCAACGATAACGATTTCTTTCGATTTACGATCAAATAATACCAAACAATGTTAATTTGAGTCGTTAGCAGCAGAAGCAGCAGCAATTGCTTATATAAGAATTTCCATCGATTATTCATGAAAAAGAAAGAAAATTTCAGGAAAGATGTGTACATTTGCAATTGAATCTTGTGATTCGCAACGACGACGACGACGACGACAACAACAACAAGGAGAGATAGAGAGTAAACAATAACATCAACCTCATTCGCCCCATCAAAAATCGATTCAATGAGAATATACACATTAGAAGTTACGGTGTTATTGACATTTGCCACAATACAATATAGAATGCGAATGGCAAAATCATATTCTCTCTTTGTTTTGTGTGTGTGCATGAGAGAGAAGGATTGAATATGTGTGTGTCTCGTTTGTGGCTACCAAAAGGTTCAAGCGCTGTTAAAGTTTTAATAGAATTTTCACCAAATACAAAATGTGTATATAAAATCGACAGAAGGCTTTTTGGGGCGCAAAATATTCATTATTTCGAAATCATAAAACGCATATTTCATGAGCGCACAAAACGCCACGAATTGATTTTGTGCATTGTTTTGCATTTGTGGGGCGGCTGACTAGTCGAGTGAACTGAATCTCAATTGAACATCGATAATGTTTATGACAAATATTCGCAGAAAATGGAGGTTCATTAACATCGCATCAAAAATGTATTCAAGAGAAAACGATAACGACATTCATTTTGATGGGTTTTTGATAAATGTGCATGTGATATTTTGGTGACTAAATGTACAATGTCGAGAGCCAATTTACAGAACAAATTACATTGCATGCATTTGAACATTTATTTACAATATGAAAATCGATATGACACACACCGACTAGAATTCGCCAGCATTTTTTCCCGTAAGAATTGTCACAACTTTTGGAAATGTACTACCACACACAACATAAAAATTCAAACATCGTGAAACTTCCATAATGCCAATAGCATTTTTTGACCAATTTGCCTTCGGAATTAAGCACTCAATCGGAAATGTTTGAAATTCCAAATTTGGTGAACACTTTTACTCTGCCTACTGATTTGTCAGCAGTTTTAGCATGGACACACGACCATCGTATGTCTTTTCGCGATTGCTGTATACACAATACACACACATATATTTTGGTAAATTCACTAGATGAATTATCTGCAGTGCAGTGTAACAGCAGTATTGGTTTCGACATGGATACTAGGCTAAAGGAGAACAACACTAAAGATATGACGTAGACAGTGGAACATTCATAGTGTTTTGTTGTTGTTGTTGCTCTGTGTTCAATTTGTGGTCGGTTGCATTTTGGCCATTTGTTATTTTTCCAAATAATCCACACTGGTTATTTGCGTTTTGGTTGCATTTAATTTGCAATAACAATTAAGCCCACAGGCTTCACTAAAACGAAATGGAATGCTGAACCTCTCTCTCTCTCATTGGCTAAATCTGCAAACTTTGAATTAGTCCCAAAAAATGCGCATTCACAGAGAAATAATATTGCGACAATGGAAATTCGATGAATTTTCATTAATTTTCTTTATTTGAATTTAACAAACATAGAATTGCCTCAGGCAATTCGGCCATAGAAAAAAAAAACTGGTTTGTTTCTTTTTTGTCGTCAAATTCGACTATTTTAATTACATAGAAAACTGTGTCATTGTTATAAAGAATGCATTTTTATAGTCATGATTTCTTATGAACACATTTTAAAACATTGTTCACATTCAATAGAATACCATTAAAATTCTCAAAAATTCAGTTTATTTTCCATTTTCATAACTTTTTGTAATAATTTACGAATTTTTAATGTAGAATAAACAACAAAAAAAAAACGTGATTATTCGCTGCATTCCATAATTATGTAAAAAAATGGCTCTTAATATTACCAAAAGGCATATTTTTCATGTGGTTTTAACACATTTTGGCATAGCCCCACCTTTTTGTGATAAATAGAGAAAAAAAATGACTATTCATTGCGAAAAGTTATCGCGTGTAAAAAAATCTTTTGGTTCCTTGGAAACCACAAAATACTGATCTTTCGGATGGCATGTATTTAATATTTCTATTGGCATATTATCATTAAAAAATAAGCAACATAAAGTTGCTTTAAGTCAACCCGTTGATGACACTGTACAAAAGCAATGCACATAAAAAATAAATATGTGTCGATTTTATCAACGAATTTCCAGAAGAAACACATACAACAACAATAATAGAGAATTTGAGCGCAGAACGTAAGGTTTTACAATCATATACAAAGTAACAAAATCTGAAATGTGAATAATAGCTTTATTCTATTCCGAAAATCATGTAGCATGAGTGCTGCTATCAACGTTGCTCAATGGACAGTTGAAAGTGAATGATGCATGAATTAATTAATGAGCACATTGAAGTAAAACCGCAACATTGTACTGTGTGATGAAAATGAATGACTTAAAAATACAAAGACCTCAAATTGAATGAAGAAAATTGTTGGGTCTTTTTTTGTTAAAATATTCATCACTTTTAAAGCTCAGTTGTGTTAAATTCTCCCAAATGTAATTAGGCAATATAAAGTGCGCTAATAGAATAATTGACATACATTACAATAACGTTTTAATATGGAAAAACCCTATTGAGTGGTTGTGACGTTTTTCGGTGATTGTAGCAACTTTGCTATCTACTTGTCTTTTTGCGTTGTTGTTATTTGTTAAGTGAATTTAAATTTTCATGTACATTGTGTCTGTATATGAGCACGTGTGTGTGTGTTATCATTTTCCAGTGGTGTGTGTTTTTCATTAATTATTAAGCAAAAGTTGGAAGCGAATAGATTTTGCTTTTTGTTGACCAAAAATGCAACTACCCCCAACTAGTCGTTCGACATCATCATACGATCAATTTCCGTGCATATCGAATGTTTGCTGTGCGAGAGCCGCCTCTAATCGTCAAATCGGCTGTGCATGTGTTACGTTTTTGTGTACGTGTGAACTAGGTCAAGCCAAGCTTTGTAAAGGCATTGTATTTGATCACATCCAGTCTGTGTACATACATCACATGCTACTGCTGGTTGCTCCTGTTGCCCGTTGCAATAGACAACTAAACAAATATACCCAATGTAAATAGAGTTATATCGATGCATTGGCTCTGTGTGTATGGCTCGTTCGATTTGTAAACAGACAAAATTAAACACACATCAAAAGCCAATTGATTTTCAATCATCGCACGGTCAAAATGAGTTATTAGTGGAAATCATACGTTATCGACTCTTCTCCTGTCTGCCACTCACTTCGCTGAAATTCGCGATGTGATTTTCTCTTTCTCTCTCTCTAATTAAATGGAGACATTAATTTCTCATAATGTCTCGATTTGTCAAGAGTTTCCATCATTTTTTTTTTCATGATAATGGCTGGTCGTAGATGGGTAAAATTTGGTTGCAGATTCAATGTGTACAGAAAGTTTACGGTCGTTTTGTATTGACAATGGCAAAACGATAAGTAAACTAAATGAGAGAAAAAAAACTACACAGAAAAGTTGTTGGAGAAACTTATATAAACTGTACCGGCACTATTATCCATTCACATCATTACTTTATGCTGTTGAGTGTACTTATTTGTAGCAAAACTCCAACAGATAGACGAAGGAAGCGAGAATGAATTCATTTTGAACGATGAGTTTGCGGTTGATATATTCAGCTGTTACATACGACAGCGACGACGACGACGACAACGAGAAAAATTATCCTTCAGTTCGCACATCAAGCATTGTGAACTGGTCGTATACTTTTTTAACGTCTGCTATTTGCTTTTTCCACACGTACGCAACACAATACATATGCACACACACACACACTCATTCTCGGATGTCTATCGCGATCTATCGATTTTACACCACTTTCCTGCACTTATCTCTATCACTCGTTTGTGGCACAAATATTTATTGGCGAAAACCTTCTAAGCTCATCAATTATATGACATTTTTATTATTACTTTCAATTTTCCTCAAGTTGAATGGTGCCCGATTGTTTCTATTCTTTCGAGAGGGCGAGAGTGTTTTCGGTTTGCCATTTTTGCCTCTCCTCATATCCTTGTATTATAAAATGCTCACAATGAATTCATTGTGCCTTTCACCGTCGTTTCCCTTACTCGATCTATAGCTTTCTTTCCGATTATGTTATAAATATCTAGCACTTAGAGATTTCGTGAAAGATTCCGTAAAAACGAATCGATATTCAATATTGTTCGTTGCACTACGGTGTGTGATGCCACATTTTTTTTCTTTCACTTATCCACATCTTTACGGATAAACTTTTATCATTGATTATTATATTGAAGAGTCAATAGATTTTGTTTGGCGTGCCATCTTTATTGCTGCTGCTGATGTCACATTTTGTGTGTCTGTGTGTTATGATGAAGATGTCAATTATGAGGAAAGTTATTGTAAAAATCTCCTCTCCGTTATACCGACCAACGTTTGAACGAGCCGAAACCAAATCGTGGTGAAAAACATGGGCGATCAAAGTCCTCAGGCCGATAAAAAGCAAAGGAAATTATCTTTTCATATATTCAGCTATTTTCAACTAATTCTAATGTAATTTTTCTCGATTCTTTTGTGTGATTTTTTGCAGCACTTTTTTTATTCCCCTCTTGTTATAAAGCTCAAAATTAAACACCCAATTTAAACACATTCTTCGATGTTCTTTTTTTTTGTTTGTGTTCAATTTGTTGGCAATTCATTGGCACTTCCCGTTGAATAGAATGTAGATGAATTGCACGGTGAAGCTAAGAATCCTCAATATAGTAAACGAGAAAAGAAAATATCCACAAAAAATGCTTTTGACATCGATTTAGTACCGGAAATGATTAACATCACATTAAGAAAATAAACGACGACAACGATTCGTTGGATTTGGTGACTTAATCTTGATTTGTGATAGTTTTTAATCCGATAGCCAACGTTTTAGTTTTTGTTTCCAACTCGGATATATTTTAATTTGAATAAAATTTAAATCGAAGCAACGCGAAAAAGAGAAGGCTTAATATTAGGGAAAAACCAATTTAATAAATCTATAACGACGACAATAATATTGATTCTAAACGAAATAATAAAGCACATACACACATAGAAGAAAAATGTATTCTGATAAAATGATCAACCAAATCTACTATGAAAAACTCAACAGTCTGAATGCACGATATCGCATTCAACGGGATTTGAAATATGCGGTAAGTGAAAATGTTTGTTTTTTTTATAAATTTCAGATTTGAGAGACAAATACCATTCTACTTGGCTTGTCGAAATGGTCATAAATCTCTTGCCAAGGCGTCGAGATTTGCGGTGTGGCGCCAGTGGACGCGAAATTTGCTTTCATGAAATCGGAAAAATTATTATTATTTTTCCTGCGGCTAGTTGAATAACGTGAACTGAAAAGGCCTACGCCTATCTTATGGAGAGAGAGAAAAACCACGCGCTATTTTGATGCGTAAAAAATTGCATAATAATTCATTCATTGTAAATATTTACATTTTTAGTTCAATTCAAACCAATAAATTTCAATAATCCATTTCCATTCGTTCCACATACAATAAGCGTGCCGAGTAGTGTTGATGTTGTGTCAGCATATAAAAATTCAAATTAATTGACTGTAAAAATACAGTGTGAGAGAGAGAAGTGCGGCGCGATTGCACGCAAAAAAAAGACAACATCTCAGCAAAATAATATTTCATTTTATATTTGACATGCTCGCATATGGCCACTTAATAAGCGACTGTTTGCAAACAAATATGAATGAGAGCGTGCCGAATACCAACAACATTTCTTTTAATTGGGATTCTGAGTCACAATATTTTGCATTGCTTCAATGGAAATGCTAGCCACAATCCTAAGCATATCTCTTAATTCTGTGTGCATTCAAGCTAATTTTTCGGCAATTCAATGATATCATATGTGGTTCTTTCAAACAATTGAAACAATTCTTCATGACATTTTCAATTAAAAAAGAAACAATAAAGAACATAATTGATACGATGAAGTTACGCAAAGCATACAAATTATGAATGAAATAGCTTCCAATCATTGAAATTTCTTTGGTGTCAGTGTTTCATCTTTGATAGTAAACGGTTTGCCTTCTTCAATGAACAATGAATGGCAACTGACTGATTTATATTGCATCCCTGCGTTCAAAATTATGATGTCACACGAGAAAAAATGAATGCTGGCATTTTGAAAATATAAAGAGATTTACGTTGTTTATGTATACACCATCGTTTCCTATATAGAGCGCTTGGCGAAGTGTAAAAGATGACAAATCACTGTTGTCATCGATTTCTATGAAGCATATCTTATGGCATACACGAAGCAGTTTCACTTTAAAATATCGGTGTACATAAAATGAAAACTTATCGAAGATAAAAGAGATTGAACGCTCCGAAAGTCAACATCCGCTAATCACCATATTTTTCACAATATTTTTCTATTGAACTTTGGAAACGACGAAAAGTAAACCTTCATTGGTGCATATGTTCGAATAGTAAAATATGTCTATACGCACATTTGATTTCAATGAAACTTGACAAGTCATTGTACAATGTACGGTGTCGTGTTAACTGTTTTTTTTTCGTACACTTAAACGCAAGCTAAAGCTTCTTATTTAATTGCGACATTTTAGCAAATTGTTTTGTTTAACTGAATTCAACGGCGACAATCACACTGAGGACCCTATTAATGGAATTGAGTACACTACACTTGAATGTAACAACATGTTTTCTACATACTGTTTTTTTCTTCTTCTTTTTTACTTTGCGTTTTACCATCAATTATTTTATTGATTGGTAAAGAGCATCGAATGAGAGATAGATAGAGAGTAAGTTATTCAATTGAATTGGCATTAATCAAACATTAAATGTGAAGGCTATTCAATTGTATATTTTAAATGAAATAACGAAGGCGCGCACTCTCTGTCGCTCTTTTACCCTCAATTTATCTCGAAACGCATTATTCTTCATACGTATTTCTATAGAATTTCATGTTTCTATTAAGAAAATATTATTATCAGATGATAAGTTGTAAATAAAACGGCATTTGACTTACGTGCAAAATGCACTTGGACCAGTTTTCCGATGTTTCTGAGAATCATTTTAACAATGTCATTTTTATTACTGTCTGTAAACGAAGCAAATGCAATTGACTTGCTCCAAATAAGATGGCTTCGCTTTGTTTTTTTATCTTATCCTTTGTTTAATGTACACATCTTAATAATCCAGTTATTATACGATTTAAGTGCTTGCCTATTCGAAACGGTGCATTCTCAATACCAATGTGACGTTTGGAATCAACGACAGTTTTATAGTTTTATCTTGGGATTCCAAGTGACAACTGCCACTTCAGCTTGAAAATGAAATGAGAATGCCGAAGATTGTTGTATTGACTTTGAGTTTAATTTGTGGAAATGACAGTGTTCAGTTTGAGCAAATAAATCGGAATTGTTTGTGTTTTGAAAAAAAAAATTTCAGCCAATTCACCTACATATGGTATTTGTTTTTTTCTCTCGTAAATACGTAATTCGTAAATGCGTCTGTTTCTGTGGAATGGACATGCGAAAAGTGTGTCTGGAATATGCGAATTGGTTTTGATTATTTCGGTGATGCTGTCAGTTCGCCGAATACATCAAATGAATTTCAAGTGAATTTCATTTTTTTCCAATGAAATAGCTAGACCAAATTGAATGCGACCAAAAACTCACACAAAAGAGTTTTGTTTGCACAAATTCTAAATGCGAATAAGATTGATGATCCTTTAACTCATACGCATTGTGGGTTTGAGTTTGAGCAACACACATTCGAATACGAAAATACAATGGACCATCGTCAACAAAATACATTGTTTGTTTGTGATCATAAAAGAACGCACAAGAGGCGAACATAGAAAAAAACATCTCTCTTTCTCTCAGTCGCCACGAAAATATGTGTAATGTGCCAAAAATAACTTTGTAATCTAACTTGAGGAATAATTTGGCAATACATAATACAAAATAAATTTGCTAGATTTTACAGAAAAATGGTTTTTGGAGCGGTATTCTGTGTAAAAAAAAAGGCAGCATGGGGTATAACGCACACACACACTCTCTCCCTCTCTATCTTTCTTTGACACTTTGTATGTGCATGTGTGGCTTCAATATTCCTGTTATGTTTGCTTTTGCAAAATCGGTGCTGCGTATCTTTTGATCCATACATTGTATTACGAATGCCGTCGCTTCACATTGAGATGGCTTAATTGGTTTGGATAAATGACAAGAGCACATTTTTTTGATGATATTGCTATAATTAAGAGCACATTTTTCTCACTTGCCACAGCATAATTGCTCGTTGTTAAATGCTGTACAGCATACTGTATTACACCGATTGATAAACAGCAAAATAATTACTTCTGTTGAACACCCCTTTTTTGTTAGGCGGACGTTGATGCAAAGATTAGTCTTTTACATGGAAAGGATGCCGGAAAAACAATTATCAAATTTAGCAACTTCTTCTGTAACAATGATATCTACGATTCTTCACCCTTCTATTGCAAAGACTCTTAATCGTTTGAATTATCGTAACAGCAAAACTTGTGGAATCTTCAACTTTTCAATAGATTTGTTTTTTTTTTCTTCTTCCAACTGCATTCAGAGTAAAATTGGAATCAGTTTTAAAAATAATTTTCCATAATATTGTGTGAAACGGTTGTGTTAATGATGATGACAACGACGTCAACGAACACATCGCGTGTCACATTTTGATTAATATTCAATGAGTGGATTGGCAAGCCAATTACAGCACAAAAGACACGGAAAAATGAAATTATTATTTTGCTAAACCGCTGTTCGTTCTAGATCACATCAAGCAATTCGCATAATAGTCATAATTTATTCGATTTTACTTGATGAATTTAATGCCTGAAACGATTTATAGATTTATTTTTTTATCTGGTGATTTTGCGATTTGAATTGCATTGATTTTTTTTTTGAAAATGAAAGCAAAGACCTCAATCATTGATGGACATGATGCGACCTTCAAGCTACTTTGAAATAGCAATTTTACTTGTGGAATAGCGATTCAGATAAATATTCTCTCTGTGCAATGTTATGACTAAAAAAATGCAACTACGCGTCGTTTTTTTCACGAAATTTCGCTTGCGTTCAACGTTTTATTAAATAATAATGAAATGCATTCGAAGAATTGGAAAAAAATGTGCTCGACAAAAAAAATGTTGGCTGAAATCGAAAAACAAATATAAAATGACGTGCTCAACATAATAACTAAATGCTTTTATTTTTGTGCATGTTTTCTCTCTCTCTCACACTCTCTCTCTTTCATGCTGTCGATGTTCTTGTTCCATTCGAGTCGATTTCGAAATGAGATCTCGTTTGATATGGGTTTGCAAAAGGGAAAACACACACACCAACAACGATGGCTATCAAAAAAATGTTCCAATTTTTTTCTTCACTATTCATTTGCCGATTATTTTGAATGTATTTGTTTGAAAAGTGCGAAAAAAAACTGGTTCATTCTTTTGAATCGAATGGAACATGTTGTTTTTGATTCGTTTTATTTTTGTTCGATTCTTTCCAAAACTGTCGGTTCTTGTCAATGAATACCAATATTTGTATTTGTGCGACACATGACAATGCAAAACATTCGATACTTTTATGCTCTGTGTGGGCATTCAAAAAATGCACAGTTTTGTGTGTACGACTTCCCTTTGCTTTGGTATTTTTCCGTTTTTTTTATTCTTTTCAATTTTTAGATCTAACTGTGGTGCCGACACAAATAGCCATGGCCAAATAGCACACATTCTTTTTTTCTCTCTCTCTCTCTCTCTCTCTTTTGTATTCAACGCTATCACTGGCCAATTTTCCGAAGTGTGAAGAAGCATTGTCGTTCTGTTTTCACTCTTGCAACTAGGTTATGCTATGTGATTGTAACTGGTCTTATCTGCAATGGCCCGAGAGTTTGTGTTGTCATTTGCTAATTGTGAGTTTTTTATTTGGATCGGATCGAATCGATTGTATTCGCATGCTCTGATTTTTGCGCCTTTCCTGCGGATTTGATCTTCTCTCCGCCGAAGAAATTCCGGCATACTTTTCACATTCACATGTTTGACATGCACTGCACCTAATGAAAACAGAAGTGAATCACAAAACAGACGCACAATGGAACACATTTTTTTCTATAACAAGCATTCACAT